TATTCGATGTGGCGTGGTCGGCAGGCACAAAGAAAGTGAGACAAGTCAGGGTCCCAACCCTGACAGAGCCACAACGCTTTGGAGATGGGACAATAAAACAAGGGAATTGAGACAAGAATAAATAGCGTCGAGTGAATTATTTCGTTTATATAGACAAGAAGATACGGATAAATGTACAAGGCCACACGATCAGAAAATTCAGAAGAGGACAGCTTGAGATAGAACAGTATTCATGTATCAGGGTGTCCTCAGTGTAAATCTTTATATCGATACTATTTATTTCCACCACATGGAATTAGCTGATTTTTGGTACACATATGAACAAGTAAAGCTCTATCCGATTTTCTGATGGAAATTTGCATCCAAAACTATATAACGGGAGAAAATTGCAAATTTATGGCATTTTTCTTCATAATTGTGTCTCTGCAAGTGCATTTTCATCCGAGAATATTTTTTTTATGTTTTATGAATAAACATGATGTTTTGGAAATATTTATCAAAAGAAATTTATACTATGTTTCGAATTACAATTTCGAGATAACCTTCTTTTATTTACGAACTTATGTCTTTGATGCTGAAATTGACAACTTTATAAAAATACATTTTCACTGAAATTATGAAATCTGGGTGTCGGAAAGGTGTAAAATTATTTTTCGGAAAAGAAAAAAACAGTAGTTGAGCAAGATAAGAAATTATACGGGGGCAGGCTTCTATGGAGAATTAACATTACTGGAAACAGGCCCTTTCTGATAATTTGAAAGAACACCAGATACATGTGTAAGAGGTAAAACGTCATAAGATTCATCATATGAAATATAACAGTTTTGCTAACACCAGTTAGAAAATGCATTATCTTGACACGGTGAACAGATTAAACATAATGGCGACTGAACCAGGTCCTTTTAGACTTCCAGAACACCTGGTTTAATTATGCTTTTCCTATTTCGGGAGTATCCGTTCAGATATTTATTTGGTTCATGTTTTGCCCTAGTTTTATAGAAACTGGATTATGATTCTGTTGACATGTTGGTTTTTCTGTCTTATTCTTGTATTGTAAGATACTAAACATATAATCTGTTTATCCTTCAACCATTTAACCCCGATTTATCACAATCACATATATCACAAAGGGGTTAAAACGCCATTTGTTTACCTGTTTGATGTAGCTGAATTCACTATTTGGATCTATTCCTCCTATTCTAAATTTGATTTAAATTTGATCGTAACCCCTGGAGTATCAAAGATAAAATTTGTATTGCAACGTGCTTTTTACTTGTGCCTTGTGTCTCCTGCACTAAAGCTATGTGTTCGCTATGTCGCGTAGGAACATATCAATTCATGAAAACTATATTTGCTTCTTTTAAAAATATCAAGGCGCCATTATGATATAGTTTCATTCTTTTTAAGGTCACAAAGAGTAACTTAACTCAAATGTGTATGAAAGTATGACACAAGCACAATGAGTTTCCGATAAATAACCGTTTAATATCATAACATATCAATTAACCCATCAATGAAAAATTACAATGTTTTTCTTATATATCGTTTGTCAATACACGCGTGTGTCAGCTGTGATCTGATGGTTTATTCCCACCTAGCCCACATTTGAAACTATCACAGGTATAGGTAGTTATCACTCCACTTTACCTGAGGGTTATAGTTTGTTTCAATTAATTAACCACACCTAGAAGTAACCCCAACTTTGCATTCAAGCATCCAAACTTGTGTATATGAAAGAATTGTCTTTGTTTTCATGAACAGTTTTATGCCCTCTTAGTTAATTATAAAATGATTTAAAATGTTAGTGAATAGTTATCAAAGTCCTGCAGTGTGAAAATATGAATATTAATCAAAGCTTATTAGATAATTTGATTATTAATCAAAGCTGATTAGAGAAATTGTTCAATCTAAGCCATGTAGATAGAGCCTATAGGACAGTTGATTTCTAAATCCGTACACAGTTTCAACATGGCTAATGCTCAGCTACAGGTTGATTTTCTGGATAATAACCGGGATGGATTTTTTCTTGTGTATGCAGGGTACAAATATTCTGTGAAATCTCATCGTGGCCAGAGGTGTTATTGGAGTTGTGTTGATCGTCAGTGTGGTTCCAGGATTACGACCATTGATATTGTGCCAGTTTCATTCGGGCGGGACCATACACATCCATCGGATATATTTGGAATACCTGCTGCAGCATTTATTGCCGATGTGTAGAGGATTATGTATTTACTTGTTAGTCTATTACTTATGTCTTACCAACAGATAGTTGATTTTATTTACAATGTTACTTTTTGTATGTTTCAGACCTCCATCATTTTGGATAATAAAGTTATCTGAAAATAGTATCGGCCTACTTATCTATGATGGAGGATTCAATCCACTGAGAGACCACTAACAACACATAACAGCAACAACTACACAAACAAGATGCCTTCAGTGAAGTGTCCAATCCCAGACTGTGACTTTGAAACAGATGACTTAGATGCTGCAATCGTTGCTGCACTTTTGACTACCCATGCGCTAGTACACACAGCAGCCTCGACTTCTGCAAGCTGTAATAAAGTGGAAAAAGTCAAACGGCCCACCATTACATTCGCTGGCACGAGTGGAGATTGGTCATACTTCCTCTCACGATGGAAAGACTACGTAGAAGCCACTAAAATAAAGGAAAAGGAACTTGTTATACAGCTTCTTGAGTGTTGTGATGAGAATCTACGGAGAGACCTCACAAGATCAGCTGGTGGCTCGCTGACGGATAAGTCTCAAGAAGATGTATTAACAGCCATCAGGATCCTAGCTGTGCGTGAAGAGAATACCATGGTAGCTCGGGTAGCACTGAACAACATGACACAAGACCGTGAAGAAACTGTGCGCTCATTTGGGGCTCGACTACGCGGACAAGCAGGTGTGTGCAAGTTTTTAATACCATGCCCCAGCTGCGACAACGAAGTCAACTATACTGACGCAATCTTACGTGATGTGCTTATTCGTGGACTCAACGACTCTGAGATTCAACTTGATCTCCTTGGGGAAAGAAATCAAAACATGACACTTGAACAAATATTTCAATTCGTTGAAGCCAAAGAATCGGGTAAACGTTCTGCATCTAAACTACTTGTTTCTCAAGGAGCAGAAGCAGCTAGCAGTTCATATCGCCGCAATAAGAGTGCCGCTCGTATAGTGACTAAGAAAACTGAAAAACAAGAGACACTGTGCACCTATTGTGGAAATAAAGGTCATGGTGCAAAGCAACGCCACGAACTCGCAAAAAAGAGTGCCCTGCATATGGTCATACATGCAACAATTGCAAGCGAATGAACCACTTTGAGTCTGTATGCAGAGGCAAACAAAATGTGACAAACACTAAGACTGAACAGGAAAGTGCTGTGTTTGATTCACTTTGCGCCGCAACCAATCATGACAATAACTATGGTAGAAATGTTGTTCAACTTGATCATCATCTTTTCAATCAGCTATCAGACACTTGGATTCGCCAGCCGTCACAGCCTCAGCCTTTTATGCATGTGACTGCTCGTGTTGACCCTAAAGACTATGACCACTTCGGCATTGACCCAAAGATCATACCGAAACCAAAGACAGCTACCATCACCGCCATGGCTGACACAGGTTGCCAAAGCTGCCTAGCCGGCATTAAGGTGCTACATCGGCTTGGCATCTCAGAGAAACATTTGATCCCAGTGACTATGAAGATGCATGCTGCTAACAACGTCAGCATAAGAATCCTTGGGGCAGTCATCCTCCGCATATCTGGCAAAGGAACGAGAGGTGAAACTTATGAAGCTCCCCAAATTGTGTACGTTACCAATAACTCTGACAAAGTGTTTCTTAGTAGAGAAGCGTGTGCATCACTTGGCATGATAACACCGAACTTTCCAACTATTGGTGAAGCACGTAACATCAACAACGAAATTATAGAGACCATCAGCGAATCTGTGTCCTCCCCAAGTACACAAGATGATTATGCACACCACGGTTCACAATCGACATCTTCTGTGGATTCTACAACCACATTACGTATAGACAGTGACGACTGCAAGTGTCCTAAACGCGAAACACCACTGCCTGCACCATCGGTTCTGCCGTTCCCAGCAACCGAAGCGAACCGGGAGAAACTGCAACAGTACTTACTAGACTGGTACAAATCCAGCACCTTCAATACATGTCAGCACCAACCACTTCCGCACATGTCAGGCCCACCGATGCGGCTCATGGTGGACCCTGACGCCACACCTGTTGCTCATCATACACCAGTCCCAGTACCATTACACTGGCAGGATGAAGTGAAGGCAGGCTTAGATCAAGATGTTCGACTCGGCGTTATTGAGCCTGTTCCGGTCGGGGAACCAGTTACATGGTGTCATCGTATGGTCGTCTGTGCAAAGAAGAATGGCAAACCGCGACGGACAGTAGACTTTCAGGCACTAAATGTTCATGCAGTGAGGGAAACTCACCACACACAATACCAATTTCATCAAGCTCGCTCTGTTCCACGTCACACTAAAAAGACTGTCTTCGATGCCTGGAATGGGTACCATAGTGTGCCTATCCGTGAAGAGGACAAGCACTTGATCACCTTCATCACACCATGGGGCAGATACAGATATAAGACAGCGCCTCAAGGATACATAGCCTCCGGAGATGGATATACACGCCGCTTTGACGAAATTGTATCTGACATTCCTGACAAAACAAAGTGTATAGATGATGCTCTTCTTTGGTCGGACAGTATCCAGCAAAGTTTCTTTCAATCGTGCAATTGGCTAGAAACCTATGGACAAAATGGTATCATTCTGAACCCTGACAAATTTGTGTTTGCAAAAGATACTGTTCAGTTTGCTGGTTTTGAAATTACTCGTGACAGTGTGCGACCATGCAGCCGTTATCTTGAAGCAATTCTGGACTTCCCTTCACCTAAGAACATAACTGATATGAGATCTTAGTTCGGCCTTGTAAATCAAGTGTCATATGCATTCAGCATGACTGACAGGATGCAAGCATTCAGACAACTGCTCAAACCTGGAACTCCATTTTGCTGGGATGACACTCTAGAGCGTCTTTTTCAAGAATCAAAAGCAGTTATTATCAGTGAAATAGAACACGGCGTCCAGATATTTGACAAGAATAAACCAACTTGTCTTGCCACAGATTGGTCAAAGAATGGCATCGGATATTGGCTTTTCCAAAAACATTGCAATTGCTCCAAAACCGTGCCATTCTGTTGCCGAGACGGATGGAAAATAACTCTTGTTGGGAGCAGGTTCACTAGCGCCACCGAATCCAGATATGCCCCCGTAGAAGGCGAAGAACTTGCGGTTGCTGATGCTTTAGAAAAAGCGAGATACTTTGTTCTCGGATGTGACAAGCTAATCATCGCTGTGGATCACAAGCCCTTAATCAAACTTTTTGGTGACAGATCACTAGAAGATATTCCTAATTCAAGACTTCGTAACCTAAAAGAGAAAACTCTACGTTACAAATTCACAATGTTACACGTGCCCGGCGCCAAACATCGTGCTGCTGATACCGTTTCTCGTCACCCAGTTGGGAAATCTGATAGCATGGTTTTAATCGATGATATTGCTTCTGTTCATATCTGCAACAAGAATGAGGCGCAACATACCATCCAAACACATAATCACAAAATCGCAGATGATACACTGGAAATCCCATTGAAAAGTAGCGAAGCTATCTTCTACTCGACAGCATTGTCATCAGTCACCTCACTTCAGTGTATAACCTGGGATAGAATAAGGACTGCCACAACAAGCGACGAGTACATGTTCCAGCTCGTACAGATGATTGAAAGTGGCATCCCAGAAACACGAAACGATCTTCCAGTTCCCCTGAGAGAATATCATCAGTTCCGTAACAACCTCTCCACTATCGATGGAGTCATCATATATAAGGACAGAATAGTGATACCACCTTCATTGAGAACAGACGTGCTGACAGCGCTACACTCAGCCCACCAAGGCACTTCATCCATGATGTCAAGAGCAGAAACATCTGTGTTTTGGCCCGGCATATGCAACGACATCACCAAGCTTAGAAACTCATGCAACCATTGCAACAGAAATGCCCCATCCCAACCCAGCGCCCCGCCAACTCCATCTGTCTACCCCTTATATCCATTTCAGTGTGTTTGTGCCGACTTTTTCCACTACAAAGGCGGTAATTACCTGGTGATTGTAGACAGATACTCAAATTGGCCAATTGTTGAAAGGGCACAAGATGGCGCATCTGGCCTTGTTGATTGCTTACGCCGCACATTCGTCACATTTGGAATACCAGATGAACTGTCTTCTGACGGCGGCCCGGAATTTACAGCTTCAACAACCAGAGATTTCCTAAAAACATGGGGTGTGCACCACAGGCTTTCTTCTGTAGCCTTTCCTCATAGCAATTGTAGAGCAGAAGTTGGCGTGAAGGCTGTGAAGCGCATGATCACAAACAACACTGGTCCAAATGGTGAATTGGACACAGACTCCTTCCAGCGTGCAGTGCTGCAATACCGTAACACTCCAGACAGGGATACGAAATTATCGCCAGCAATGTGTGTTTTTGGGCGGGCCATTCGAGACTTCATCCCAATCTTACCAGGCCGCTATAAGCCACACGAGACATGGAGTGATACGCTTACCCTGAGAGAAGAGGCTTTACGTATCAGACACATGAAGACCGCCGAACGCTTAGCTGAACATACGAAGCGTCTGCTGCCACTAAAAGTTGGAGACCTCGTCAGGATTCAAAACCAAACTGGACCATATCCGAGAAAATGGGATAAAACCGGAACTGTTATAGAGGTTCACCAATATGACCAATACGTCGTACGTATCGACGGGTCGGGCAGAATCACGCTTCGCAATCGAAAGTTTCTACGCAAGTATACACCTGTGTATCCTCCCCCTGAAAAGCAATCCATAGAGCAGGACTTGAAACATTACTTCTAAAGGGACATCCCAAACTTTACACTACCGACGAGCGGAACTCCAGTGGTCCCGGCAAATCCTTTGAAGCCCAGTCTGGACATCAATCCACAAGGGATCAGTAAGCGTGCACCAGCTTCACAAGATCTGAGTAACAGTCCACCTCCTGTGCAGGATAGGACGTCTCATACAGTCCAATCTAAACCGCAAACACCCTTGGCATTGGACGGATCCCCACAAATGGTTAATCCGTCTCCCTCTCCTGCATCGCCCAGGCTACCCCCGTCACCACATCCTCCAACTACCTCACCTGCAACACCAGTCACACCCAGGAGGATCGTGACAAACAGACCAGAGCAACTATCCGTTGACCTTACCCCAAGACGTCCTAATCGACAACGACAAGAGCCAAAATGGCTTAGTGATTATGAGCATTAAATGGGGCAGAATAATCCCCGAACTGGAGGATAGTCTGCCCAATGACAGTTCTACTTTTCTACTTTTTAATTAATGTACAAATAGTACCTTATCATTTTAATTTCATTTTCTTTGTATGTTACATTTACTGTTAATTGATACATAATTTGATCTCACAATGTAATAACAGTGTTAAGGCATATCACATTTTCAGTGACAATGAACAGTAATAGACTTATTCCATCCATATTTCCCACAAGGACAAAAACATTAAATCAGTCATTTAAAATACTTATAAATGACTCGGGGAGGGATAGAGGATTATGTATTTACTTGTTAGTCTATTACTTATGTCTTACCAACAGATAGTTGATTTTATTTACAATGTTACTTTTTGTATGTTTCAGACCTCCATCATTTTGGATAATAAAGTTATCTGAAAATAGTATCGGCCTACTTATCTAATGTGGGAAAAAAGATGCCGGGAGGAGGTTAACCCAAGGTCACTGGATATTTTATAGTGGTTATATTGTAGTTCTGTATCTTATTTCTACTTTTTTCATGAGCTTTAGTATTTCATATAAAACCATAAAATGAAATAAACAAACATAGTCTTGTATTGTACAGTTATGTTAGAATTATAGTAAATTAATATTTCTGTAGTGCTGTGTGTAGTGTGTGATGACTTTTTAAATAAAATAACTAAAAATGTTGTATATGTTTCAATTTTAGTATATGTTCAGTGCTGTGTTTTTTTAATGAATGACATTTGAATTAAAATTAGATGAGAAAAAACCCCCTTTTTATCATGAATTTATATATTTTGATATTGAAATAAAAAGGATGAGTATAAACATCTTGTATATTGTTTTACTGTGCTTTTTATTATAATATTGCTGTTAAAGTGAGAATATTTATGTTTTGTTGAAATATTTGTGCAATGCATTTTAGTTAAAAATATATAAGAAAATATCATAGATTCACCCTTATATACATATATCATGTAAACTATACTGATTTTTATGAAAGATACTATACTTTTAGGGCAATTAAAATCCATTGTTGTTAAACACACACCAGTTCCTTTTAGCCCACATATTTTTACCTGTAAAAATAGAATGTGGGCTAAGTGGGAATACAGGGATCTGATACACGGGATCTGAAGGGCTGTCACAGATCCTGAGGTGCACCATCAACTTTGCCTTTTAGTTTTTACATCGGATTAACATCCTAGAGTAACTAATATTATTGTTGATATGGGGTGTTGCACACCAAAATATGGAATTTGATTGAGAGTTAACTTGCGGATGTAGCACGTGCGCGATTTGTTTTCCCTGAAATTATGGATTTAAGTTTACATAATTTTCTATATCTCATGGTGAGTGTTTAACACGTAGAAACAGTTTAAGTTTGTTACTCAGAAATCGAGCCATATTTTGCCCACTAATTTGTTTTTTTCTGTCACGCTATAATTCGTTTTTTGTCCTCGTCCTTCGTTTACTTTTTGATATTTTTCGTCAGGGATCCAAATGGTTTTCTCCTTTGTTAGGTACACTATTTGTCATTTGTATTATTGTTGTTATTGTTTATATTGTTATTGGTGTTTATTGCTTTGATTTATTCGTGTGCCCACATAAAACGGGTCATCATAATTGCCGTATCTTATGAGATGACTCATTGCATTAAGTTTATAGATGTCAACGGGGTTATCATTAGTCATTCGTTGTCGCCAATGCGGGTTTTTTTCACATAGAATTTGAATTTCTTTATGTGTCTAGGATAAACAAAACACCCTTGATTTCGCAGTGAGGTGATACAAGTCTGATAAACAAAACGGATAGTTTTAAACAAAAATTATCCAGGACAACATAACAAATTAAAACTGATTCAACATCTAGATAAACAATATTGATGTGACAGAACAATCTAGATAAACAAAACACTGAGGTGATAGAACAATCTAGATAAACAAAACATGGAGGTGACAGAACAATCTAGATAAACAAAACATTGAGGTGATAGAACAATCTAGATAAACAAAACATTGAGGTGATACAACAGTCTAGATAAACAAAACATTGAGGTGACAGAACAATCTAGATAAACAAAACATTGAGGTGATAGAACAGTCTAGATAAACAAAACATTGAGGTGATACAACAGTCTAGATAAACAAAACATTGAGGTGATAGAACAGTCTAGATAAACAAAACAGTGAGGTGATAGAACAATCTAGATAAACAAAACAGTGAGGTGATACAACAGTCTAGATAAACAAAACATTGAGGTGACAGAACAGTCTAGATAAACAAAACATTGAGGTGACAGAACAATCTAGATAAACAAAACACTGAGGTGATACAACAGTCTATCGGAATACACATGCCACATATATTTTTGCTGTATTCGGCAGTGACGGAATCAACTGTATTTGAGCATGTGCGGTAATTCTACATAATTACGCCGTGAATTTACTGAAATATTTCTTTTAGAAATATGAATATTTGTTGAAATAAACGATTTTGAATGGTGTTATAAACATGTTGATGTAGGAAAATTCATGAACTCGCTGTTATATCCGATGAAGTTTGGAACTATATTTCTGTGCGGAGCAATTACTTTGGCGTCCGTCATCAGGCAAATTCAGCGTAACGTCAATGCCAGGTAAGCACAGATTCAACAAAGAAAATGTTTAAGTTTATATAGTCTGATTTTTAGTCGATGTTGCAGGATAAATAGAATACATGGTCAGTGTCTTAAAATATAAGATGTGTTTGGCTCGGGACAGAAACACAACAGTAGCGAGCTCCTTTTTTCTTTCTTCGTCCTCGTTAAAATACAGCTTGTATTTTAAGACACTGGCTATGTATTCTCTATGAATATTATCTGGTGATGAATTTCGCCATACACGGAGAGTACATTGCTCCGTCCCGCGAGACTCTTGTATCATTTGTATAACAAAGATAATTGTAATAACGTACTAAAATTTATTGCGGGTATACAATCATATCCAACGATGTAATCAACAAATGTGATATACCTGGACAATGGGAAAGTAAGTTAGGGTATGGCCTTTTTAAATTGAAAGGAGTGATTAATATGTGATCTTGGTGATTCATATACAATATGGAACTGATGACGTACATCTTAAGAGAAAATAAGTGCATACCTGATCCTCAGAGATGATGTCTCCATTCCCAATCCAATATCTTATACCGATGATAGCCATCATCTTCAAAAGACTTACTCTTGTGGGTGCACATGGTTTGTGTGCAAGTAATTTACAGGTTGACCAGAGGTCAAACAGATACCACAAGTCCTTCATTCATTTGGAAACAATTGGTGTGTTACAATGTATAAAGGTTTGTAAACGATACACACTGTGCAAAAAAAAATACACCACAACAAAGAACAACTAACAAGTGACCTCATGATGTTTTATGAAGGAATCGTGACGTCACTTACTGGTGTAACATCAGTACAGGTAGGTCAATCACCCGTGAATTTTTCGGAAATTTGAATTTAGGACATCAAATAAAACAAGAATACTGTTAACTTCTGCTATAGTTATACATGTATATTTGAAATTGCGTTACAAACATTTGATTGGATTAACAAAGATAATACTTCACAAGAGACTGTTTCAATTACATATGTACTTACTAGCTCGAGGTAAATTATCTTTTACGACTTTCGAAATCAAACCTTTGCTACTTATTAATAATAACATGATCACATACCGTTATATGGTATAATTTCCTCAATGCATTTTAATTAAATTGAACTGTACATGCATTAATAGTACCCACGAAATCAATGGAAAAAATTCTTTCTCATTGCCCGTCCTCTATTGGCACTGGTATTTACAATCCCAAATACGAGGATGCACTGTTATTCTTCTGGGTAATTATGAAGACGGACACATCCTGAAACAGTGTTCAACTCTTTTTGACATGACAATTTCCAGTGTATCGAAAGCATTTCATTCAATAGTTAAAGCATTATAAATTAGTCATTGTTCCTTTGTTCCTTGGACATGAACATCTTACAAGAGACAATATTCTGGAGCACAACACTGTGTTCTCAGAAGCATTTCTCGGCCATATGGCGACTGTTATACCTGACGGTACATATATTGCCATTCCTAAAAAATCTTATCACAAGCTCCAGAGTTAGAGATGCTCTTACTGTGGTCAGAAGAAGCGGGACTATTTGAAGTTCATGAGCACAGCCATGTCTGATTGTTACATTCTGGACAGCAGGACCTTTCCTGCAAGCGATAATGATGCGAAGATTACAAAGGCGATCATGGATGTCTCTTCTTGCTGGAAAAAAATGACAAATTCGGTTTTTTTTTTATGAAAACACGCCTCAGTGTTCACAACAACTTAGCTCAGAGTGTGCAAAATGAGCCAGATCTGTCAAACTAGATGTTACCGCGGACAATTGTGACTTTCCAAAGTTAGACACGTAGACAATATCCTGTGTAAATGTAAACATTTTATTTCAATTCACTTTACAATACTTCCATCCAAACCAAATCTCCCCCTTCGCTCGTTATCGTTACATAAATACATAGAAATATTGTTAATCAATTTTAATTACTTTGAACGAAACTCCAAACTACCATTTTGGGCAATTTATTTCATATTGTTTTAAGATGTTTTTTAACACATAGTCACGAATGGCCTCCAACAGGTAGTTGTATTTTTGACCTTCTAAAAATTTCGCTTGATGTAAAAAGAGTATGTTCTTTCTCAAAATCCATCACATTTTTATCTCCTGTTCCCAACGTATTCAAAACGTGTGAGTTCTTGTTTTGTAAACATGATACTTTACATGTTATTGTTAGCATGTTCATGTTCAGTTTTCAGTGGATCCAGGGCAAAGCCCTTACGTTGGTGGAGTTTAGCATTGTTTGGTTGCAAATTTAAGAGCTAAAATACACATAAAACCATGTTTGTTTTTGTTTTGTTTTTTTGTTTTTTTTTGTTTTTTGTTTTTTTTTGTAAAATTCCTCAAATTGTGATGATGACAATAATAAATGTAAATTGCAAATCATTACTAGGCATGATAATATATACATTTGTCTTGAAATGTTTTAAGTCATGCTAAAAATATCGTGTCGGTCATTAAAATTTCTTATATTGAATTGATATATTTTGTTTTTGAAAGAAATTTTCTGTTGTGTTTTAAAAATAAGGAGCTTACATAATTTTGCTGCAGTTACAGGACTGTGTTTTGAATTCGTCTGCTGTTTATACCACAATGTTAATGTAACCGCAACATAACAAGGGGTCATTTGATCAAGATTAATTGTGTTACACATATTAACATGTTGTAGAACAGGGAGTAACCAGTCCCAGCATCAAACTTGTTATCAGATAAGTGATGAACTATTTGGGGAAAACCTGAAAAGAATTATCATTGTATGGTAGCCCCAAATAGTAAACTGTTCCAAAATACAATCCTTTAATGTATGCCTATAAGTCAATTATTTCATAATCAACTGGGTATTGTTCCGTATACCTAAAAACACCAAACTTGGCCATTGTAGGCGTGAGTGATTCCATAAGATTATTGTGCAGAATGAAAATTCATTTTATGAACAAGTACATCCATGTGTTTTGAATGCCTTTTGACAGCATGGAAGAAGATACGTACATTGAATATTTTTTGTACATTCGCATGTTTGTATTGTCACATTTGTCACATTACAAAACTTCAACAACTTTTGCAGCAATGTTTTGCGTAAATTTCAAAATCACTAAAGATAGATACAGGTCAACACTTACGCCTACTAGTGATTTTTGTTTCCAATGTAACAAACTGTATGTTACGTTTAAGAATATGATAAAAGCTAAATTTCAGATGACATTGAATCTACTTTCCTGAAAATGCAATTCTCTTACGTAAGAGTGCAGCTTATGGAATGCCATGGAAATACTCAAAAAACATTTTCGTGGAAGGATATCTTGGAAATGACATGGAAAATGACACCGAATCTACGAGATTGTTTGCGAAGTTGTAAAACTTCCGAAATTGTTACTTTTGCTACCAGCAACCAATGCTGTAAGTGAACGGTCAGCATCAGCATTGGGCAGAATCAAAACCTATCTGCAATCAACAATGACACAACAACGTCTGAACAACTGCATGCTACTTCATGTCCACAAACAGGCGACTGCATCTATTCATTTAGTTGATATTGCAAACGAATTTGTAAACAATGAAAACCGCGAGAGGGTATTTGGAAAGTTCACATCAGATGACTGATTTCGCATAGTTTCTTTGTTCGATAAGGTCAAGTAAAACTTTTCATATTATGAAGATTGAAATATTTCAACGATATGATTCAAAGAAATGAATATATACTATATTGTCACAGAATTGTGTTTTGTCAGTACAGTGTATATGATATGATGTAAACCGACCTGCTAAAACTTAATTATCATTGAATAATAAATATCTTCTGTAAAATTTGCAATTTTTATTAGTATTTTGACAAAATTATTGGGGGGGGGTCTAAAGCAACCAAATCATATTATTATAACACCCAAATAATGAATTCATTGAACATTTTCTTCGTCATATGAGACATGGTGTTCCTATATATTTTTGACACCCGTAGACATAAATGGCTAATTTACGTTAAGTAAGTATCTAATCAAAATATGATTGATATACGTCGGACTTAAACACGCGGTAAAAATAATAGGTGATTATCTGATAAGCTACAGCGTTTTATTCTGTCAGGGATAGGTAAATATGCATAAGAATAGTTGGAGAGTTAAAACTGTTCTATTTTATCAGTACATGTATGTTCAGTTAATGCGACCCGCTCATGTAATGTTATATATCGCCAGTGTAATATAAACAGCAAAGGTTTTCATTGGCTGCGCAAGTCACCTTAAATCGTTTGCTGTGATGTTCGTCGTATGATGAAAATGACGAAACAAAATGGCTACTGCCGATTGATAAATGTTCAAAGACTGACAAAAATGTCAACGTCCCGTGAGATGTGATGAAATTAAATACATAAAATTCGTTTTCATTTCATACATTTCATCGGAGACATATAATATGATATATACGTCTCTGATTTCATGAAACTCGTCTCGAGCTGGAGGTTTTAACTTAAATTTACTCACCAAGGCTCGAAAATATAAAAAATACATATGAAAATAAAAAAACTTCTAAGGCTTCTAGAATTTCGTTTGAAATGAAAACTCATTTCAGATCTTTTATTTATCACATACTACACCCCACTATCCGAAGTACCGCAAAGTGACCCCGCAGAGATGTTACGGATTCACGGTACTAAAGAAAAAGACATAGACTGGATTATTTTGTATCACATACAATCGGTCCATCGTCCAGGGAATGTAACTAGATTAAAAAACCCTTGGGGTGTCTTTTGTTGGGTTGCGTCAGTCTGAAATCGGTATTAAATGTAACTTTTCTGAGTCATCTTGAATTCGTTTTCATTTCAGGTAAAATTTCATAAAACTTGTCCCGAAGTTTTATTTCTATTTATTCATTTCGCCGAAGCTCGCAGGGGTTCGCATGGGGAGCCCCTAAGACTCCTTAGACTCTTTCATAGAACTGTGTTTGAAATCAAGATCATTACAGGTCTTCCCTCTCGTTACACATACAAATCCTGTACCGATAACAATTCTATATGCTAGAGTTGTTTTGATTGGCTGAGCGTATACTACGTGAGCTAAACAAAACTTTCGTTACAATATACATGCAATGGGTGAGATTACTTCCGGTTTTGTGCTTCAGTAACAAAAATGGAGAAGAACACGGATCCAACTGAAGATTTCAAATGGGTCATACAAAATGGTGACGTCACAGTGGTGAAGGAACACTTTAAGAATGTATGTACGGTTTGCGAGTCTTTCCGATTACAAAAGTAGCCACTAAGCTACCCAATCCTACAGATATTTTAGTCAACATGTTAGACCTACTGAGACTTTACAATGCCCCTCTCAGAAACATCTCGCCATTGTAAATCTCTGTTCGAAATAGGGTGTGTCTGTATATTGCTACTAGTTTGAAGTTTGCTACTAGATTTATGAATGACAACGCTGTCTGCGTCCTCCGACAAGTGACCGCGTATACCGGTGCACGAGATGGCAATGAAACCTACAGGACTTTTTGGCCATGTTGACATTATTGTAATCCTATGAAACATTTAAAGTGGTATATAGTGTGGAAGATTGCGATAAGGTCATAGTCAGAACAGTTCAAATTGGTAATATTCATACATTAGCAGTGCTCTGATCCGTTGCAGTCGATTTGACAATTAAGTTAGTCAGATCGGCTTTCACGGATTAGAGACCGTGCAAGACACTGTTGACGGGTCCCACATCCGCTCATCGGACAGCCCTGCTGTATAAGTTCTGATGGCTTTCTTGATCTGCGACTTGAAAAAACTGTTCTACCTATCCACCAAGTTTGAAATAGACGCAGTCAGTTATATGATTTTGTTTTATGGCATGGTTTGTCATTTTGCCAATCTGACCTTTTTCTGCCTTCTTGTCAATTTCGCCCATGCCTTGTTTCCTGCGTCTTACTGATTTAATTACAATCCAAACCATCCTTCCAGCTTCTTATTGTAGTATCAGTCTTGCAATCCAGTTCTGTAGCATTCTTTCTAAACACATTGTTTGATTATTAGGTTGGACTGGGATATGAATGTGGTAGGAAGTAATGTAAAACACTGTGCCACAGCTGGGGTTCAAAATTCTAGTCTCAATCCAGACACTTCACCATTGGGCTTAAGGAAAATTTCCACATGGTTACAGTCAACCAGTGGTTCATGCAAATATGTACATTGTTGCCAATGGAAAAGCAAAAAAGACATTTGAGTTGCATCAATCTGACGTGCCTCAACAAATACGTACAACTGGAAAGCTTAAAGAATGTCCACAATCTTGTTAAATTCATGTCTTAAAATTTTAACTGACCACAGGTAAAGTCTAACCAAGCTTTGAACAACTGTACTGTCAACTTCTACACTATTTACTTCATCCTTAATACTCTAGGGGTTAAATTACTTCAGCTCTGCACCACAGGAAAATTTCTCTTGCAAACTTGAAGGCACAAGCGAAGTAATTTGATAGGTCTAGGACAGGTTTCAGGGGGAAATGACTAACCAATCACTGAATGATATGCTCCTTTAATGATTGCAAAAGAGTGAGACCCAACTTCAAAGCCAGTAAAATATACCTTTTATGTACACTAAAGGATCAAACTGGTCCTATCATCTTATCTACAAGGTGGAGCCTTCAGTTTTGCCTTAAATGTTCCAGGAGTGAAGAGAGCGATATTGAGTATATATATAACCCCTGGAGTATTGAGGATGTACTCCCTCCTTCACAAAGTCTTTAGCCCTGAAGACAAATCAACCAAATGTTCAATAAATCCAAGGAAGCATTTCAAACAGAGATAACTTCTACTTCTGGAGTGGTAAACAGCACCAAATTTCCAGTAGGAAGGATTAATGAAAATCACCTAGCTCTCATTGAGGTTCAAACTTTAACTGGATACTCTACCTCTTGAACAAAGGGAATTCTCAGTAGCAAATTCCACTAATATTTAAATGAAAAGAAAACAGTGGCTTTTGCCAATATTCTAAGTATAAATTGTTAATTATCATGAGCAACTTGAGTATTAAACCTACGTTTTTCAGAAGGAATTCGAAATAGGTAAAAAAAATCTATGTACACTTATTATTTAAAGCTAATTGTCAGAAATCATTTTTTTTTTAATTTTACTGATTTTTTTCTCAGGGTGTCAATGTAAATGAATTTGTGCAGAACAGCTTACATATTGCTGCAGATTTTGGACACCATGAAATGCTAAAGCTTTTGATAGAAAAAGGTGCCGATGTAAACGTAAGTAGTATTGGTTGTTTGAGTATCAGTAAGTATTTGTATCACCCATTTACTAATCCTTCAAACCAACGAGTAAGAAAATAAATGTAGATTAAAAATTGAAAGAAAATGTCCATCATGATACTGTATATTAATACGCAAGTATGAATTCATGAATAAAAATCACTGTAAGGAATCAAAATTCAGCATGACACGAAAGTTTTTGTGAACTTCTTTGTTTATTTTCAGGCAGAAGATAAACATGGAATGACTCCTTTATTGGCAGCAATATATGAGAACCATGTGGAGTGTGTAAAAGTGCTTGTAGAAAATGTGAGTGAAGTCAGCAACTAGAAGTGACCCACGTCAAATCTTTGGCTTTAAAACACTTACAGGTCAAAGGCATGAACATGTTAAAAAGTATCACAACAGAATCTTTGTAAGAACCACAATACTCTCTCTGCAATTTATTCAGAGAAAATATCTCTATCCATTTTCTTTATCATAGTTTTGTATGTGAAAATCTTTTTTTACAATTTTTACAAAATATTCATGATAATAAACTTTTTCAGGTAAAAGGCAAATATATATAATATATAATTTGATAAATTATATCATGTGATGTAAGTTTAACTTTTACATAATTATAAAATTTAGATCATTTGGCCAAAGTAAAAAATAAAATCTTATAGTTTAAAATTAAAAAGTTCTATATCACAATCATTGCACTGTATAACATCAAGAAATTGGAACTTTATGCCATCTAGTCTTAAATAATCAAAGCCATATATTACTTAATTTAGAAATTGGCAAGTTTTTCCAGAAAAGATAAAAGACATGAATTGTGTGACTTGAGATATCATTTTGAAAGAGAATTAGAACTACAACAAGGAACAGACACATGAAAGACACTTAATGCAGTTTATTTATTAAGTATTTATGTACAAAATTGATGCTGACACTTTTAGAAGGCCACATTCTGATTCAGTGATGAAATTTTTTTGTAAAAGCCAAATTGCTTCCTTAAATACAGTCCATCATATAGGAAAGTGATATAGTGATATTTGTGTTTTAAATACCTAGCTATCTAGGTAGGATGTAAGCAATGAAAATGACTTTTGCTCTGCCCTCTTTGTCTGATGGTTGTGAGGAAAGAGAAAAGAAAAAGAGCTAGTAACAGGGTAATATATACACATGTCAGAGAGGAAAATACTGTAGGGCACCATAGTGAAGAAAGAAAAATACTTCAATTTTCTCTGTTTGTATACTACATGTATAAAGAAAACTGCTTCAAAGAAAATAAATAGTCGTAATTATTAAATTCTTCCGACAATTACAAAAATTTAGATAATTAATGTACATATCACTACTGTTGACTTTATTTCCAGGGTGCATCTCGAAATGGCAAAACACTACAAGGACAGTCATACAGTGAAATTGCATCAGCTGAGGTGAAGAAACTGTTGGCAGAGGAAAGTGCTTAATAAATTTTTATTGAAATGTGGAAAAATGGTGTTGAAGGATAAGTAGTGCTGTACATTTCAGTAGAGTCTGGATGGAATTTTTTGTTACGATATTCAGTAGAAACGAATCACTTTGTCAGCGCGCTAAAGGATTGTGATCTTCGCAAAGCTTCAGTTGACATACAATCATTTTATACAAGTATTTTTTCCCATTTTTGTTAATATTATGTAACATACACACAATAATAATCTTTGTTATATACATGTAATTTTACTCTACTTCTGTAATTTGTGAAGCCATCCTATTTAGATATTGTCATTCATGGGACCTATTTACCAGGCATGTAACACGATAATTTTCAATAGGAAAAGTTTACACCGTGCTCTTTTCATGATATATTCAGTTGTTTCTGTATGTATTTTGGAAGAGTTGACTAAAATTTTCACATATATAATCAGACAGGCTCCAGTGACCAGCACTCCTTTGAATAACATTAACAGTAGGGAAAGTATGTGAGAGAACTTTCGTAGATCTATAAATCACTGCTTTTAGATATCATTCATAATTACAAAAAATTTCAGGTATAGATGTAGGATAACAGTAGTTTTTGAAGTAATATTGCTTATATATCAGAACATGTCTATAGTTTTTTCTCCTGCTCAATAAGACAGAGATGGATTAGATACCTATATATGTACATGCTCAATCCCTCCATCAATTATGCATATTTTGGTAGCCAAGCTTTAGTTGGATTAAGCATGCTTCATAAAAGCACTTAGGATTAATGTTGCTGATGCAGGACTGCATCTTTCAGCGACATTAACCATGTAATAAACTTTTATTATTGTCCTGACTCTGTATGGGTAACTATTTTTGCTACATGGATTAAGCTTGCATTGATGATGAAGCAAGGGTTGTTGTCACAGAATGGATGCTGAATCAAACTTCTGTAACATTTGCTGGACACAACACTGCCATTCGTAGTTGTTAAATATGTGAATGTTGCAATTTGATTGAAGCGTATCTTATGCAGACTTGTTAATTAATAACGAACCTTCTTTAAATACTGATGAGAGATAAATATTTAATTCAAATCTATTTTTTTCTGATTTAGCTAATTGAGTTAATTGTGAAATTTTCAGTTTAGTTGGTTTATCATAATAATCACCGATATTGGATGGAGAAAACAATGATGAAATCATTGCCGAGATTCAGAAATGTCATCATTTCTTAAACAATTCTATTTAACAGTAGAATGAAGTATTCTTTGAGCATGTACAGCCACCAGTGACATAAGTGTTATTGAAATTACAGTTTCAAGTATTTCATGATGATCATTTTTGAGATCTTCAGGTTAAAGAAAAGTCTCCTAATGGGAAAATTTCATCCATTCAACTGAGTTTAAAATATATTACCAGGTACCTCATTTTATTATACTTCTAATACTATTTTATATGCAAAAAATCCTACTCCTAAGATAGAAAGTAATAAAGGTAGAAAATTTAGAAAGCATTTCAGAATATGTGTTAAGAAAACTAGAAATTTAATCATAATTTTCACATACATGTTCAGTCTGTACTTTATGACATTTGCAAAACTAAATTGACTTTTTAAGTTGCTATTAAATACATTTTCCTTTTTTCTCCTCATTTTCTTAAACAAGATTAGTTTGCTGTATGTATTTAGAGAGAAACAAATTAATTCAAATGCAGTAAACTTTTGGATATTTATAGACAAACATTCTATTGTTTTACCCAAGTCCCGTTTGAAATTGTATTCTTGTGTACATATGTAAAATAAGGGTATAAGATAAGGGACCAAGTGTACTGATGAGTTAAGAGCTATTGTGAAATAAGAAATATACCAGCAGGAAAAATGGTTATTTACCAGGAATATTAAAATTCTAATAGAAACTTATATGGATAACTACAAAACAATCAACAAAAACAAAACAGCTTGATGATAAAAATAATAAAAAGCAGGGATTGAGCCATTAGTGTTTTAATGTACGCGTTACTAGATATAAGATGACTTGTATTTGGACTGGTGTATATTATTCTGAATCCATGTATTTATATTGTATACAAACTTTGGTGCTATGATGTATGTACAGTGGAACTTTGTTAATTCAGACATTTATAATTACATAACATTAAAGTTCTCTGTTCTGTTCCAACAGTTGAAGAAATGAGAATGAATCGTTTAAATGTTACAAATTTCGCAGGTGTACAACTTCAGTCAGGACACACAACTGTTAAAAGACCTACGATCAGGTAGCACACGAGTAATCAAAGTATGTTCAGATTTAATTGATAAAATATTAAGCAGAAATCTACCTATGTACATCCTGAATCAAGTATTGCGCCTGTAAAAATGGCATTAGAACTGAAATTGGCAATCCTGTTGGTAGCACTATTGTAATTTTATGAAATTTAACAACTAAATATGTTAGAGTGACATGAATGCCTCCACCGTTTGGATTTTTTAAGTATTATTGGCTTTGCTAAGAGATTCTTTGAAATTCCAAGTGAGTTTGGCAAGGCAAACTTTGGTAATACCATTGTTGTGGAAATTTTGATTAACTGGTAAAGATACTTAATGTTAAATACCGGTAATTGTAATTCTGGAGAAAAAATTGATTGACCGTATTCAATTCAAAATGCGACCTCCCTATTAGTATCATACCTCTATAAAATTAATATCTGTATTGTTAAAGAGTTAATGAGCAAAAACAAATGCTGGTGGAATGATGAACAATGGTAACACTATGGGCCCCAGACCATGATAGGGCGGAAGCATAAAAAAGATCTTTGGTTTGGTTGTCACAGGATCAAAGTGTCAAGACTTAACACAGTACCCCTGTATGGCCTTAAATTCTACATTTGTATTTAGCCTGAAATTTACAAAAAGATTACTGGGACTATCGTAACTCACTACGTACTTATATATACACAATGCATCTATATTTATAATTCAATTCTGTTTGATTAAGAATGTGTATTTAATTGTCTTTGATGTGGTGCATCACTTCTTTTGTGATCCTGGGAGTTTGCTGGCAGCTTCCGTAAGACAACAGAAAATTACTCTGTGCAGATTTGTAAAACATGGTGAATTGTTCCCTCAAACTGATTCTTTTTTTAGAGAAATTTAACTTCAGATTTGGTGTTGATTTAGTTTGCTTGTAAAATATTTATCAAAATGAAAAGATTTGCTCAGTATTAGCTAGGTAGAATTTTTGCCACACTACAGCATGCATTAGAGGGTAACATAGCTGGATATTCTATACTGTAAAAGTGCAATTTTTTTTTTTTTTCTTTTTACATTCTTATTTCTATCTGTTGTTAAGTCAACATTTCCAAACAGTAACATTGTTTTTAAATGTTATCTTTGATTTTCCTTGAAAGGAAATGTAAGAATGTTTATGAAAAGTATGAAACTTGACATGTAGGTGTCAGTTTTCTTTCCCTTAAAAGAATGATCCATTTTAGGAATGCCAGTCCTAAGATGTGAAAATTAATATTTCTAGTTAAAACAACAGAATTTGAATGGTTAGTTTATGGTTTGAGATTTGTGCTTCTCACCATGCTTTTCAGTTATATGTAGACTATTTCCCAGAGTTTATTACCTGGATAAAAGTCGCGGAATATATGGAACACGTGTACAATGCTTGATACATTGTAAATGCAAACATTTATAATAAATGTTATTTATAAGATTTTAAAGTTTTGTTGTATCTTTACATCCCCTATACATCAGTGGTACCTTGTTGTGCCTTTTCTGTTGGCTAGTAAGTCCTTTAGGTTCTTCATTTAGTTTTACACTAATCAACCATTTATATCAAGAAGTGTATGATAACATAAAATAATGTGGGTCACTGTGACCTTTTTCTTTTTTCTTGGTTTATATTTCATATTCGGTTACTTTATTACAGTTCTCGGATATTTGAATTTGTTAAAAAGCTGTTGATGCATCCCTTATTTAAAAGTCTTAATCCTAGATGACAACCTTTTAGCCATCTTGTCTCAACCCAAGATTGACTCCTTTGTCTTTTGACAAGGTGAGAAGAAGAGGAATCCATTCTATGTTCATTTTTGTAAATCATTTTTGTTAGAATCATCTCAAATCCTTCATACAAAACTCTGAAATTTAGTCAGAAGTTTCATGGGATGGGTGCTATGAAGTTTTCTTGACGACTTTGATCTATTGTCTTGCTGTGAAGAATTAAAAGCTTTTTTCAATTTGATGCACTGTATTTCTCTATATTTCACACTCCAACAAGAGCCTCCGAGGGCCCGTTTTGATAAAAAAAAATGTCAAAACATAATCATGTTTTACAATCCTTGTTCAAGGTACATTATAAATGATATACAGTTCTCATTTTGATCTGAAATTTACGAATATCATTAAATGTGTTTGACCCACTTGGCCCTTACAACCTCAAAAATAGGTTAACATTATTTATATGAGGCTGGTCAAATGTCAGTACCCTTTTATCTTCTGGCACTTGCAAAGATCCTTCAAAGTTTTCAATCAATTTGACCCATGTGACCTTGTAAGTAGATTGCAACTATTTATATGAGAATTTTTAACACTCAATTCCTCATACCTACGAGTCAAATAATATCTTGGATCTTCGGGTACTATGATGGAAGACGGAATATTTTTCTTCAAATGCTTGATTCCTGTAACCTTGAAAATAGGTCAAGGTCATGTATATGATGAGACTTCATAGAACTTTATCCCATTTACCTAACAGCGAAGTATTAGAACTCTAGTTCTCTTAGACTAATTAAAGATTTTAACATACATGCATCTGACTTTGCCTTTGAAAATAAATCAAAAACATTCATGAGAAAAACATACTCCAGCCCAAGTATCCCTTGTCTAAATATCAGTACCCAGTTGTCGTGCAAGCTAAAATTCATCTTTAAATTAATAAGGAAATTAATAATTTGAACAGTATATAAGAATATATCAAATGTCAAAGAGGGAGAGTAGTGCCATATGTTCTGATAAAGCAAACAAAGTTTTAAAGAGAATGTATGAAAATGAGAGAAACCTCTGGACAAGATTGAAATACAGAAAGTAAAGGGAAAGAACTTTTTGAAAATACTGTTGAATGAAAATGCTATTAACGAATACACAATCTCATGTTGTTAACAAAACTACAAAGTTTCAAAGAATTCAGTTAAACAGAGGGAGAAGATATCTGAACAAGATAAAAATAATGCAAAAACAAAGGTCAACTCTGACAATTGTACAATCATATTACCATCAAGTAAAACATATTTCTATGTAACGATCATGAAGGCTACAAAATTTCAGAGAAATTGCTGAGAAATTGAGGAGGGAAATCTTACAAAATCAAAATGCTGAAAAAACAAAGGACTGCAACTCCTTCAAGAATTGTTGAATCATAATGCTGTGTAGGAAAAATTTTGTGTCCTGGTGATCACACCTATTAAGTCTAAAAGAAATCAGTTTAAAGCGGAGAGGATGTGGGAACAAGATTATTATTGTGAAAACAAGAAGCAGTAATTCTTCAAAATACAGTCAAATCAAACTGCATTCAGTAAAACAAAATTTTTTGTCCTCATGACTAAGCCTACCAAGTTTAAAAGAAATTGGTTGACAACCAAGGAGACCTGTGGATAATATTAAGGCTGCATTCACATAACCCTGTTGAACTGGTTTAGGTAGTCTGGAATTATTCCACTATTCATGAAGCACTTGTACCGGAAGTTTGACCCGGTATATGTGAAGTCAAAATGCAGTGTTTTGAAATTTCCTGTCGAGCACAAGTCAATCAACTAAAATGAAGACACCACCTATTTCACTCATATTATAACAGTACAATATTCCTGGAAATATGAGCGTGCACCAACCCTACTTTTTATGCTGAAATTCTGGAAACTTATGATATCGGACTCTCAATCTGCACATGCCAAATGTTCCACAGTCCAGCTTCGGTACCTGGCGTTTTTCCATGTAAGTTCAACTGTTTCAAATGCTTACACAAAAGCACCCAATTATTACCAAAACTGGAAGTAACTCTTCCAAATACTGTTAAATCAAACCTCCATTCAGAAAAGTACTTCTTGTCATGTTTATTAAGCCTACAAGTTTATAACAGATTGGTTGACAACTATGGGATGAGATCTTGTATTAAGATAACTGTACAACAGATGGTAAAGACAATGCCATACCATAAAATGTCCCGTAAAAAATATGTGGACAAATAAAATGTTTAATGCCAGTACAGGAAAAATTTGATTGTGATTTTTTTGAAGAAATTGTTTTTCAAAGATGAGAGAACACAATCTTGGTCGCTACATTTATTAGCCGATAATGTACAAATAATTTTAACGGTAAGACTTCTGGTAACGAGCACGTGGACCAGGTCCTCCAAACTTTTTGGGCTCGCACCGTCTGGGATCGGCGACCAGCAGCGTTCGGTCGTAACTGATGAGAATGTCCTTAATTTCCTTCTTCGATGCTTCATCTACATCTGTAAAAAGAGTAAAATAAAATCAGTTAACAAAACCGCTCTTGAACAAGATTTAGACTGGATTCATACAAGATGTCCACAGATTAAACAAAATTATAAGCAAAATTGATATTTCAGAAGTTATCCTCTTAACACAGAATAATTTCATTCATTGTAAGGAAAGCATTGGTATGTATCATAAAGTTTTATTGTTTGATGAGTGTTAAATGCACGAATGAAGTAACAATTCTCTCAAGGCCATACATCAGGATAATACATTGAAGCAATCATTCTGCAAGTCAGAATTACGTCCCAAAGTGATTCATCATATGTATAGAGTATGAGAGTATGCTTTATATGGAAATGCAATTATCTTGGTTGTTAAAAAAATTTGTGAAGGGAAAAAGCGTAAATTGAATTATGAAAAAAAGTTATTTTCAATCCCGACAAAACAAAATAGTACCAGTATATGAATTCCTACTCCCATGCAAAAAAATTACTCCTGTTTGATGAATTTCCAAAGGTTGCCAAATATGACCTTTGTCCTTTTAACCTTAACTTATGACCTCCTTAGTTGGATACAATGTAGAGATTGATGTTATGAAACTATGGGGTAAATATGAAACAAATCAGTTGAAATGTTCTAAAGATATGAATCGATTCCTAATGGAACTGAACAAAATGGGACATGACACAACATGATGGAAATGGCTATCACAATATGCCATCTTATAAAATGGTGGGGCCTCAAACACACACAAAAAAAGAAAATTGATAAGTAAATATCTTTGTCTACAGCATATAAGCCCTTGAGATAGTTCTTAGATATCGAGATTAGCTCTTTGATATCAATTACAAAGAGAAAGCATGAAATATCTGTCTTCCTTTGCACATTCTTTCAGCAAGTTAAAAGGGTTTTATCTAGCCACACATCAGAAAGACACATGTTACCAGTCATTCTGTATGTCAGAATTACGTCCCATAGTGATTCATCACATGCATGACACTTCATCCAGAAATAATCTAACATTTGGACACAGACAAAATATTGAGGATAATTTTTTACTATAACGAAATATCAGAACTGATGGGTGTTGTGTTTTTTAATTTGTTTTTTCTCTTCTCTTTTTCGTAATGGCATCAGTACAAAGCAATGGAAAGGGAATGTTTGGAATCTAACAGAACATGTTTATATCACTTAAAACCAAATCAAATTTGGTTCAAAGCAATACTTTAATATCAGTTAACATAAGTAAGGTACATTTTTGTGACTTGCAGTTCCAAGTTCCAATCATTGGACTGATGGCAAATTTCAAGTTGATGTATCAAAAGTTATGATGCTGTCAGTTGAACTCATTGTTTCTATCTTTAAATCATTCATAATTATTTCCATCTGTACTTGATATTAAACCATTATAGAGATATGAAATTTTGATCACCATGGCATATTTAACAATACTTTCACAATATCTCACAAACTAGAAAATGTCTAAGACATGAATGCCCCCGCACCCCCCATGTGAAATAATAGTGAAAGGTCTGAATGAAGTTGTTAGGTGGTATATACTGATTTGGGACGCAACGCGACGGGACGGGACGGGACGGGACGGACGAACATGGGCAACGCTATATGCCCCCGGCCATAAATGCAGTTTAGTGTCCTGCAACTTACATTTCTGGTAGTATGCAACAAGAGCCTTGGAGATGGACTGGCGGATAGCTGGAGAAAAAATGAACAATGAGTAAAGGGAAAATTATCATCTAAGTGATCATCATTATGTTAAAAATGTTTCCTTACAATTCTTCTGAAATCACAAAATTCAATCACTGATTAAAGATTAACATGATAAATTCCTTCAAGTAAATACTGGGAAAGAAAAAAAATACAAGACCCTCAGAGCGCTGTGATGTCCATTTCATTACTATCATATTTGATAAGCAGAACATTTTCACAAGTCATCATGTAGTCCCATCAAATTTATAAAAAATATCAATTCACCATAAAATGCTCAAAGTGAGACAGTTCTCTATTTACCAGCTCACACATAAGAAATAAATTACAAAAACAAGGTCTATTCTAGAGATATTGATTCTACATACTGATATCTCCATCCTTTTCGATACTCACCATAGATCTGTGCCACATGACCACCTCCTCGGACCCTCACTCGGATGTCAACACCAGCAAATTTCTCCTTTCCCAAAAGTAACAATGGTTCTTGAAGCTAAAACAAAGGTGGAAAGATATTGAGTCCTAAAAAACTGCCTGTCAGTAACAGAATTCGAAGTTTAAACAATTTGCAACTGACAGTGTAATCCCAGGACCAAGTGAGCCTGTCAACATTGCAAATATGAAAAAGTGCATAAAAGTTAATGTATAAAAGTGGCTGACTTCAGAGCGCTGTGATGTCCATTTCATTACTATCATATTTGATAAGCAGAACATTTTCACAAGTCATCATGTAGTCACATTCACTACAGCAAATATCAGCTATTAATGCATTTCTAACAGAAAATTCACAAATTTTCTCAAGCATAGCTTGTATGACAGGACCTTGGGGGTGGGGGGGTTAGTACTGATCGATAGATATGTCAGTGCAAGAATCCTAGGTGGATACAGGAGTATTCTAGCAGAGCTCCGCACACAAGATGTACTAACAATAAGATGAAGGATGAAGCATCAACGCCAGGGATTCCGTAGATTTAGATTTATTTGGTTGACATGTTTCGGTTGGCTCTGAAGACGGTTGGCCTAGCCAACCAAAACATGTAAACCAATAAAATCTGAACCCGTTAACAATGTAAATATAAAAATAATGCTACGTTTACAAATATTAATGTATAAAAGTGACTGACTTCAGAGCGCTGTGATGTCCATTTCATTACTATCATATTTGATAAGCAGAACATTTTCACAAGTCATCATGTAGTCACATTTACTATGGCATATGTTTATCCAAATCACAATGATCTCTTCATGACTTTCATCACAAGAGGTAATCGCAATTTTGGCTTTTTTGTTTCCTTCATTACTGCCTTTTAATCTCAGATCCTGTAGCAGAGCCTTCCTAGCTTATAATTATAACACAAGGTGAACATACTAATTTATAATGTCAATAGTCTGACCACAAGTTAGAGAAACCGCACAGAAAATAACAGCATGTTTTCAGTGTGGAAAACAAGAAAATAACAATGTTTACAGTTTGTTTGTTATCATGTGAGATGATCCATTAGTTCTGCAAAAACTAATAATGTATATATTTATATATGAAAACTTTGCCTTCTCATTACCATTTTTCTGATTTTGATATCAAACCAATGAAATAAATTCATTTAGTCATACATCAGGGAAACACATGCTACCAGTCATTCTGTATGTCAGAATTACGTCCCATAGTGATTCATCACATGCATGACACACTTTTTATTCACAAACAACACCTTGACATGGTCCTAAATGTACACATCAAAACTTTCTCTTACACATTGCAGTTTATATCTTTATAAATTTTCCAGTGATAAATTATAAAATCATCATTATCAACATGAAATTAGAAAGTTTTGTTTAAATCCCTTATTTTGTGTTTTTGTGCAAATTCTTTGAGCACAGTGTTTTTCAGAACATTTTTACAAGTCATGTTGTCACAAAATAATTTGCTGGTATTGGGAGATGGCCGTTTCAAAATTCAGCAGCATGAAAATTTTAAACGACCGATATCAAAGCACTCACATAGAGTTTGAAATAATGAAGGCTGTGATTAATAATATTGTTGTTTCGGAGTTCTTTTGTTACCATAAAAAATTTGTGCAAGCTGCAGGTCAATGCAGTCCAATGTGTTTGTAAATGAGGCCACGATAGCTCAACCATTTCGAGCGTTGGCCTATATAAATGTAACCTCAGGCTATACGAGGTGCAGGGTTCAACACTTCCTACCCATTGTTTTTTGTGCTTCTAAGGAAGCCGAGAAACAGACTAAGCTGTGCTGGATGTGCTCTTGTGATAGTCTCCTGTATGTGATTCAGTAAAGTCCACCAGTTCTACAAGGAAGCCCTACCTCAACTGACCTCGACTGTTCTCAGCAAACAAGCTTACAGTTGAATGCATGGAGACTGGTCTCAGCTCTTTCTCATATTTATGAAACAAAATGTCTAATAAATCAGCAACATGATACCCTTGGTTTTTATTTAAACTAACTTTTTCAAGTATTTGCTGTGATTCCTCAGAGCGCTGTGATGTCCATTTCATTACTATCATATTTGATAAGCAGAACATTTTCACAAGTCATCATGTAATCACAGTGATTTTTTTTTCAAAATCTACCATTTGAAAAATTGTATGAATTACCTAGTCAAAATTTCATGGATGAGCAAAAAGACAGGTTTAATTCTAAAATATGATGTTCACTGGTGTAATGTGAAAATTTACTATTAACACTAACTTGTCAACCAACTATTAAGATCAATTGTCATACCTTTGCCCTGAGAATTTGAGGCTCAATGTTCTCCAGTGGGCGTCCATTCACTTTGATAAGACCATTTCCTCTTTTGCAATGGGCTACAGCTGTGGCTGTTTTCTGGAAATTGAATGTTACACATAATATATCGTATGAAAGAGGCACAAAAGGCCTATATTGTTGACAAGAACATTCTCGAAATAAAACTGTAATAGTCAACAAATGATGGATTTAACGAAAAGTGAACTACAATCTGTACTTAGGATGCCAAAATACATTAGAAATGATGTACTGTAGTTTATGATAGAACATGAACTTCTCTTGATCATTAGTGATAATGCGGTTTGCCTATAAAGCAAGATGACCCCCATAGACCAATGCATATTTGAAGAAATAGCACTGGATCAACTCCAGGTACCTGCTTGCAAATCTATTTCTTGAACCTTCTGAACTTTTGACAGAATCTTAAGGTTTTCAACTTATTCAATCCCTGTAACCTGGATAAAAGTAGAGGTCATTTTGATCATGCTTTGCCTTTTCAGAACTCCAAGCTGTACCTCAGGTATGCAAATCTAACAGGTAGTTAGGACACAAATGTTAAAAGTTCTATAATTTTGTTTTCAATCAATATTTGAATAGAACACCATTAATGCATGGTTAGTGTGCATTGAAGATCCATAAAAAAGTAGATAGAATGTCTAGGAAAAATATTTCTGTTGGTAGCGCAACATCTTCAGATTGATATGATGTTACTGGGCCAGACTGAAGTTCCAACCCAGAATGTTCTGGTCTCCTTATTGAGACTCCAGGGCCCGTATTCATGGAACTGTTTACATGCTCATGCATGAATTTTGTGCTCAAGCCTTATATCTTGTTTAAGTTAAAGATTAATAAAGAAGACTGATTTTGCCAAAGCCTTTAAAAAAATATTGAAAGGACTTCAAGTCAAAGTTATATTCAATGTTTATATTTTACATATGTATTATTTTATATGATTTAGGGTAATTATTAAAAAGTCTGCTTGAGCACAAAATCTATGCTTGAGCATGAGAATGGTTTCATGAATACAGGCCCTGGTCATAGTTAATCAACCCAGTCCAATTCTGCTGCATTCCTCCCTCCTTTTTCAAAGTCTTTTACCCCAAATACCAAACTTTACAAATTACAACCTGTAGCTTGTAGGAAAAGACTTATATAGGCTATAAGCCTGTTGTCCTTTTGTTAATACATGTATACTGTACTTTCTTTTGTAAATTCAATTATTGTAATGTATATCATGTATTGACAATAAAATATTTTGAAATTGAATTTACAACCTGGCAAGAAGTGAAAATGATGACAGGACCAGGATTTGAGCCAATGACCCTCCAAACTCTAGAAAAGACACTCGATATTTAACTGTCTGGTCTTTGATGACTCGCCCATTACAGCTGTCACACTACAATTCCCAACACAGCTCCACTGACTTTCCCAAAATTAGTTGTCTTCAAAAGGTGTCCCTCCATAGCATTGTCATGTTACTTGCAGAACTTGATATATTTCTATAAAGTCTATTGGAAAGATTTGGTAACCTTTCTGATTAAGTCAATTTTCTAAATCCTGATCATGAAGTTCGTTCTGGGGCCCTCCACCCAATATTTTAACGTTTTATACGACTGGTGAAGTCTAAATGTATTCCTCTAACAAGGCTTTCATACAGTGGTTTGAAGTTAAATTTGACTTATAAGGGTCTCATGGATTGATTCAAGAGTTAAATAAATGGCTTCCATTGAAGAACGAAGAAATAGAGATGTCTGTCAAAAAAGAGTGGGATGTGTTTGTCAGCAGGTTAGGGAAATCCACAAATATGCTATAATACATAAACAAGTCTTTTATATAATTTTTGCATGATGGAAAGGATTGAAAACAGAAACACTTCTTTTCAGTCGATATGGCCTATGTTAAATGACGCAAGTATCCACTTTCAGCGAATATCTTTTAGTGAAAATTATTGAACTCCTCAGAAATAAATGCCACTTTTAACAAAATACTGCTAAAGTAACAGTTCAAACGGTTTCTGTTATTTTTAGTAACATATGAATATTCTTACTAGCATATAACAGGCTAGTTTGTCTTATTATTCGTAAATTTGTGGTTTTCCTCGACCTGGTCAATGGTCTTTCATCTCTGTGCATGGCTTCGGAATGCCGATGCTGTGAACCAAAATAGTATCGACGATGTCCTAGATTGTTGGTTAACCGATAAAGAATACACTTGGTACGGAAGATTGTCCACGACATTGGCATTAGCAGGTATTATTCACAGAATAATGTATGACAATATGTATAGCACTGTTTACCTTGCGCCCGTAAACCTGCACCGACTGCAAAGGCCCTCCTTTCACAGGTGCCCTTTAAAAAATTGACAAAATAGTATTTATTACAACAGAAGATACAATTCTTTATTGGTGATGATGAATTTATGCTTACATCATTCGAAAACATGAATTTATTCCACGAAAACGACTGAACGTTCAGTGCAATGCCTTACTTCTCCATGGTTGGTTTCAAAAAGGAAGTAGAAAGGGTTCCCACGTGTTGTGCCAGAGAGGAACTCTACTCTCTAACCAAGTAAAAAATAACATTTTATTCGCTCATATGAGGGTGGTCATCAATAAATAAGTATCAAAGCAACAAGTAGATTTTTACTTATTACACAATTATAAATTCATAAGACAAACATATACATTAACTACTAAGCTATAGGTTATTAAGTTATTAGTGGTGGCGGAGAGTATAGGGGTTTCTAATCAATAAAACGGAAAATTTAATGGTATAAAATATCCGGATAGGTAGCTGATTATATTTTCCGTATGTGGATTGGTTCCCGCTATAGTTTGTGAGATAAAAAGGAAAAACTCACTCCGAAATTGAAGGGATGGGTAAGTAGCTCTGTACTGTATTTTGTTGCATTAGAAAATCGAATTTCTGATATAAAAATTATTTTTTGATATAAAAATAAATTTGATATGAGATGCTCGATTTTACATTTTTTCTAATAGTAGAATGCTCCCATATTGAGAGGTCTAGATTAGAATGTAGCGAATGATTTATATTCGATAAAGAAGATTTATGAGTGTTCACTTGAAGATGTCAGAAAATGTTTTATATTAAATACTACCATTTTCATGTACTCATTATTTTGTTATTTTGAGTCAAAAATAAAATTTTGAGTCAAAAATAGTTTTCATGTCCAAAAATGTCATTTTGTTGTAAAACGACGTCATGCGAGCTGATAGTAGGGTGTAATTTTCGAATTTCCAATTTTTTATAAGTTTTATCTTACGGTCAGCTTATTGAAGAAAAACTGTGAAGAAATGACCAAACGATGTCGTATCTGAGTGGTTCAACTTGACGGGGTACTCGACACATTTTTTTGGTCTGTTTTGTGTCGTAACAGAGACGCGGCGTGCAACGTCTTAGAGATATGGAAGGTGATTACGAAGACAATGAGTCACTTTAGTTTACCAATTCATGATCAGATCTAGTAAAATCTTAATTTTAAAATATATAACTGCTTACTAAATATTGAAATGCCTGTGTTCGTCAATTGTGGAATAAAAATTGGCAGGCTGATATTAAAGTTCAAAGTTCCGGCAGGTCGGTGTTGGTATTCGTTTTCTTAACTAATTTTTACCATTTTGCGCGGGAATCATAAAAAGGCGCGAAGCGTATGCTGTAGTAAACAAAACAAAAATCAAGGTAAGTGGTAAAAGAGGGGTCTGGCAGGTTGCGTTAACACTGTACGATTCAAATCGAGGAGCTTAGCGGGTGTGTTAGACTACTGAAAGCTATTTGTGCACTTAGATATAAGTTTGGTAGAACTAAAATCTATTTGTGGCTTTGACACCTTTTCAGTCGCGCCAGTATTGTAACCAGTATTTAATACTAAGTGATCATATAAATATACAATATTTTTCTCAGTTTTCACGTTTATTAATTTGTATGACTATTTATTTCGATATTTCACTTAATAGTTGTGTAAGTCGAGGTAAATGTGAAAAAATCGTTTTGATCACCGCCCACAGGCACTCGAGGCCAGGATATTATTTTTTAGACATTGATTTTTGTTTTAGCACTCATGACTGACGTTATTTAAACGAAATATCAGCAGAATTCAAGTTTATGAGCCGGTTGACAAATCCGAGGTCCACGGTCATTAAAAATACACAAGGCAAGCAACTCCAGATTTTAAAAAATCGACCCCTCGCTTGGAAACTGGCTCAAAAAAAGTAGTTATGATAAGTTCCTTGTAAAACAATATGTATCCGTAGGTAGTATGTATATTTACCTTTCATTTGGTACATAACATTACAAGCAACGAGAAATTCACAATACGTACATGAGATTAACATCTCAATAACCGGAGATTTAATCGTCCATGTAATTATCTTTGACGGAAGTAACATGCCATTTCAAGGGCGGTCACTCCGATTTTTTGGGAGAGGAGTTCCGGACAGCACTATACCAGTGAACAGGTAAGAAAGGTTCCGATGTCATTACGCGCGTAACTTCAAAATAGATATTTTTATTTCTACAAATACATTTGCGTAGATGGAAAAATAATGGCTGGGCAAAGAAAGTCCACATTTGCCAACTCGGATACAATATCATGGTAAGGGATTATACAGAATGCATCAACTTTCAATCAAGCTGGCGGTAATGAGAATTTTTTTTCAAAAAAATAAAAAAATTATGCAGATAATGAAAAAAGGGCGCAATTTATGAAAAATATCATGGGGGAAATATATTAACTTAGAAATTGGAAATTAATTGATTTTTTCCATAGTGATTTTTGTCAAGTTATTGAGAATATTTGAAAAGAAATACATATTACTTATTAACCAAGAGGCCCAAAGGGCTTGTATTGCTACATGTGCTGTATGCTTTGGCAAACATCCATACAATGGACTTCCTGACCAAATATCATGACCCAAGGCCTATTTGGTTATCAGAAGATGTTATTTAAGGGTTTATCCATGACCTTGAATATAATGTCAAAGTAATATCTTTTCTCAAACTTTGTTGCCCTTCACCCAAGAAACATTTTAACAAACATCATGATCCCTGGACTTTTGGTTAATCGGAATAAGTCGTTTAAAAAATCAACACATTGGACCAAAGTGACCTTGAATAAAGGTCAATGTATTTTTTTGCTGCAAACGGTGTAGGGCTTTATCTAAGGAACGATATTTTTCATAAATTGCGCCCTTTTTTCATTATCTGCATGATTTCTTTCTTATTTTTTTTTTTTTTAAAAAAAATCTCATTACCGCCAGCTTGATTGAAAGTTGATGCATTCTGTATAATCCCTTACCATGATATTGTATCCGAGTTGGCAAATGTGGACTTTCTTTGCCCAGCCATTATTTTTCCATCTACGCAAATGTATTTGTAGAAATAAAAATATCTATTTTGAAGTTACGCGCGTAATGACATCGGAACCTTTCTTACCTGTTCACTGGTATAGTGCTATCCGGAACTCCTCTTCCAAAAAGTCGGAGTGACCGCCCTTGAAATGGCATGTTACTTCCGTCAAAGATAATTACATGGACGATTAAATCTCCGGTTATTGAGATGTTAATCTCATGTACGTATTGTGAATTTCTCGTTGCCTGTAATGTTATGCACCAAATGAAAGGTAAATATACATACTACCTACGGATACATATTGTTTTACAAGGAACTTATCATAACTACTTTTTTTGAGCCAGTTTCCAAGCGAGGGGTCGATTTTTTAAAATCTGGAGTTGCTTGCCTTGTGTATTTTTAATGACCGTGGACCTCGGATTTGTCAACCAGCACATAAACTTGAATTCTGCTGATATTTCGTTTAAATAACGTCAGTCATAAGTGCTAAAACAAAAATCAATGTTTAAAAAATAATATCCTGGCCTCGAGTGCCTGTGTCACCGCCATGAAAGTTCAAAGCATGGCATACTATGTAAAACGGTCAGTATAATATATAGGTCCTCAAAAGTCCGAGGTTAAATAACTCAAAAGGCGATCATTTCCACCAATCTATCTTGCAATAAGAGGAGTGGATTGTCATTGTATAATTAAACAATTATTGACCTGTTTTCAGTTGAATACAAGGTCAAGCATGGGGAAATCTCGACTGTTGGGCTATTCAAATAGCCCTGCTTCCGTCGTCCGTCCGTAAACCATTTTCATTATCCCTATTTCTTGCGAAGTTATGGATGGATCTTTCGCAAATTGCATATATAGGTTCCCTTTGATTTTGGGAATGATAAAAAAAAAACTAAATGGCCGTTAGACAGCCATCTTGGATTTTTAATGAAGATTGTTATCGTTATTTCTTGAAAACTAAGAGATGGATCTCTCCCAAATCTCAAAGGTAGCTTGTCCTTTGTCTCTTATTGTGCCAATTTATTTTGAGACTGATCAGAGAAACAAAATGGCCGAAAGGCAGCCATCTTGTATTTCAACTTTGAAAGTTTGTTATTGCTGTTTCTTGAGAAGTACTCAATCAAGCTTTCTTTTATTTCATATTTGGCTACCCTTGGTCCCTAGTAATGCCTGTTTGATTTTAAGACTGTCCAGGAAAACAAAATGGCAGACAGACATCTTAGATTTTGACTTTGAAAGTTTGTTATCAAAATTTCTTGAGAACTACAGTAGATATCCTTCTTTAAATTCATGTGTATGCTTTCCTTGATCCCTAGTTGTGCCTGTTTGATTTTGTTACTGATCAGAAAAAAACAAAATGTTTCACAAGCGACCATCTTGGATTTTGACTTCAAAAGTTTGTTATCACTATTTCTTGACCTTTAGGTCCCTTGTTGTGTCTGTTTGAGTTTGGGACTGACCAGAGGAACAAAATGGCCAGCAAACGGCCATCTTTCCTTTTGCCTAATAAAGATTGTTACTGCTATTTTTTTAAGAAATGAATTGATATCTCACAAATTTCATATACATGTTCCCATTGGTCTCTCCTTGTGCTCATTTTATTTTGGGAATGATTAGAAGAAACAGAATGGCTTCCAGGTGGCCATTTTGGATTTGGCAGGTAAAGATTATCATCGCTATTTCTGGTTCTCTTGTATTGATAAATCCTCACATGTGCTTAAAAAGGGGTCAGTAATGAAATACTCTCATGTTCTATTCATTGTCATCTTTCAGCATCATGCCTTTCGTGATTAGTCAAGTGATTAGGGGTGAATATAAAGAAAAATAAATACCTTGACACAGGATACTTGTAACACTTGCATAAAAAATTATGAACAATAATTATGAATGAATGGAAACGCCCTGCTATTGAAGGAAAAGTTATATGAAAAATGTCATTCATCAAATGTGTATAATAACAATGATGTCACTATTAGACTGAATAACTGAAATATTTTAGGAGTATTCCAGCATCATTGAATCTGTCAAGAATAACAAATGAAGTTTTGAGACATTAAAAAAGTGTTGTACTTTCTAATTGATTATTTATAAGCAGGTTCAAATCATTATATTGTATTAAGAAATTCTTA